CCCCCCCCCCCCCCCCCCCTTTCCTCCCCAGAGCCTCAATCTCCGAAACCCAAGCCTGAACCTCAACCCTAACCCACAATCCTGCAACGTTGGGCTCTGAGGCAAGCCCTTAACTCCAAGCTTTGCGTAACTCGCAAGCTCTCAACCGGACCCCCCCTTGAACGATCCAGTCTGTAGCCTTTCCCTTCTCTACGGAGCTTGCAGCATAGCCAAATTTTTGTACGAAATTCGTGTATTGCTGCCCCCAAATTAGGGTTCTCCGGTTTCTGTCGGTACTTGCGGGGTCTTCTGGATTTTGTTCTGTGCTTCGCCACCTTCTGGCTCCCCAGTTCAGACAGCAACGAGTGCTTTCGCGTGCCGCCTCCTGTCGCACATCAGCATGGTCCGTCGAGCGCTCAGGTTTTGTTTTTTTTTGAAGGTGTCTCGGAATTAAGGGCACTGGGGTTTCGGGGTTAGGTCTTGGGCTTTGAGCTTCCAGTTCTGCAGCATCAAGCTCCAGGCCCTAAGCCCTAAGCCACAGAATCTTGTACCACCGAAAACCCTAAACTCTCCGTTGGATTCGAGACTGTCAACCCAGCCCAGGTCTTTTCAGCACCGAGAAGGCTGCATCGGGTGGCGAAAAGGAAGGTTGCAGGTGTACAAAATAGCAAGCCCAACCATAGCCTCGTCAAGACCAGATTGATTTCAAACGGATTTCGGCCCCCTATACTGTCTTGGATTTCCGGCCCATGCTAGTTTTGGGATCTTGGCATTGTGGCTCATCTTTATGTGGTGAAGAGGTGAGCGTCAGGGCCCCTAGGCCCCCAAATGCACCAAAAAGGCTGTATCCTTGTTCCTGAGAAGCGGGATGCCGTATTCAGGAGACCTGATAGTCAGGAACCTGTAGTTGAGGGTTGTTATCAGGGGCCACATTCCTATCATGCGTATGAGTACTATTTACAATTTTGTTATGTTTCATTGCTTATGTAACTTATGTCTGAAATTCCCAAATCACAGAGCACAAAGGGACTAGCCACAGCAAGGAAAAAAGTGTCGTGCCGACGCGCTGTTCAATAAGTGTGTATTGACAGTGTTCACGACTAACGGCAGCAGGACGGCGAGTTTAGCAACAGTGGCGCCCGTGGCGGTCACAGCAGTAGTAACAGTCCTCAGGATATCGACATGGAGAACATGCCCGTAGAATGAGTAGCTGTATGACCGCTAACAGACATCATCCAGACGACGTCATCAAGTGATATCAACAGCACCATTCGTCAAAACAGGGCTGACACCGGATAAAGAACATGCGTGGAAGCAACCATCGTGCACGGTTGCGGCTCGCATATCGAGACCAAGGCCAAATGCCAGAATCGCAACAGGCAGTGCCGCAAACAATTAGCATGAACGGCATAGTAAAATCATGTCCAGCAGTGATTTCACGCGCCAGAGACGCAGCGAGAGTCACTTCCTCAAGCCAAACAGCTCTTGTAGCTATGTCAGACGAAGTGTGACAAGTGGAACCAAGAACAACATCAGAAGCACCAAAACTCAGCGTCATCATCCCGGTCATCATCATCATCATCATCCTCATCCTACGCATCATCTTCATCATCACCACCATCATTACCATTATCATCACCATCATCTCAATTTTCACCGTCCTAACAATCATGGTCATCATCTTTTCGTCATCATTGTGAATGTCTACCATCCGCAGTGTCACGGTTGGCATCGCGGCCAGCCCCAGCACCGTCGCGGACTCACTGCGATCTTCTTGCGGTCAATATCATGAAGAGGTCGTGTACGGCGCAGCCCCGTTCCCGGGTGGAAAGCTCGCCTGGAACCATCATGCACAGGTCGGGCTCCCGGGTTTCACCGTCAGGGCTTGATCACAGCGTTTTATCGCATGTCAGTGAATTTCAAAGGTCGTATGTCACATGATAGAGCTGTACTGCCGTGTGTAAGAGTACCTCCTTCGGATAAGGTCATACTGGAATCGTGGAGCGGACGATGTTATGGTGAGTCTATTGGACGGTGCATTCAAAGATTTTTGGTCTGAGTGTCAACGCCCATTTTTGACTGTATTCTATCCGCGGCCAGCTACATCAGAGTGTGGTAAATTTCACTGCGCCGGGACATGTTACAGTACATAGACCACCGTGAATTACGGTAGGTTGCATAGTCGACAAAACCCTCTAGCGCATTGCCCGTCAACTGCCAAATCCCTGCTTCAATTTTGATGCCTGCAGTCACCACGCCTTGAGCCCTCGTGCACATGGACGCGTACGTGTACATACATATAAATATTTGCACTGTAAACACATGTGTAACTATATCGGTTACAATCATCAAGCCGTATAGCGTACCAATGTAGTATACACGCATTTTCATACTTACATATGCAGACATTGCATAGAAACATGCATATATTCTTACACAGAGACACGCAGACGAAGAGACAAACAGTTAAGCAGACAGACAGACAGACAGACA